GTTTATTTTTTTGGACGCTCTCCCAGCAGTTTTTTTAAACCTTAAAGTGAGAAATCAAGTTTGTAATTCAAGGTCCCAGACCACTCATCTAATTATTCCAGACTCAAAAAATTCAAAATAAACAGGCAAAAGTAAAAGTAGTCCTGAGCCTCCCTTTGGATCTGCTACCCTTTAATGTTAGCCAAGAAATATGCATTTAAAAACAAAAATCACCTTTAAAAGGCTTGAATATTGAGAAAGTTCTTCTTCCCCCTTTTCAGGCAAATGTGTTGAATTCCCTCAATAAGCCCCAACGTGCTATTCCCTCCTCCACAGCCCCCAGTTGATAACAGGCCAATAGAAACAACCTTTTTAATTGTAATCACTCATAATTAATAGCAAATCAAATTATTGCCCTCCCTCAAATGTGTAATTCATTATTAGAGATTCACAATTTTCTAGGACTGGGAATAGGAATAACATTTTTTATTTACTTCACTTTAAATATGCTATTCTGTTTAATCAAAAATGTATAGCTGTGCTAAGATTAATTTTTCATGATCTGTGGCTGTAAAATGAACTGTATGTAAGGTAGCCTCACATGACTCCCCATACACAACCTGAACACCAAACACCTTCACGGAGATGCATAGTGAAATATTGACAGCGACGCTGATAAACACTGGCACAAATGGAGTGGCTCAGCATTTCTTCACCTCTCCTCCACTGGGCACGTTCTTCTTTCCATCTTTCTTCCAGAAAATTCAGCAAATACAAAATCTTTTAAACACACTGTAGCTGCGCAGACTTTATGTGACTCTTTTTCTTTCTCTTCTCGTGCTCTATCAACTTCTGTGATGTGACTTCCTTGATAATCTTAGTTGATATTGCGAGTGGAGCGATCCATTCCCCCTCCGTGTTTAATGTGACAGTGCCAGGACTTGATCTTTGTTTGTTCAAAAAAAGTTAGCGCAAGCGGCGTGTTTAGCTCCGTTTAATGTGTTTGTCTTGCGATTTTCCAACTGCTAAATATGCAAACAGATAAATCGTCAAGGTTAATTTTGTACCCAGCCACATAACTGATCTTCTTCCTGCCACGTTCCTGCTTTTTTAAAAATCTCTTCTTCACTCTCTCCAATCCTTCTCTCTTCTCGCTTTTGCTCTCGTGATGCAGTTGATAAAGTTACGTGAAGAGGTAAGTGCTTCTCTGCTCTAACAATTTAAATTATGCTTTCCCACTGAAATTTCCATTTGCCCTTCTCTCTCCCCGTAGAAAATGAAAATCAGCTCATTTGTACACTATTTTACATGTCTGATTGAACAGCTTAAAGGCCAAGCCAGAGATAATGAATTCACTGAAGACCAGTTTCTCCAGGTTCCCTTACCTCAAATATCAGAAAGTGAAGATAAGATATTATTTCTGATACGTCTGTTTGAAGACGAATATTGTGGAACGAAGCAATGCTTAGAGCAGCTTCAGTTATTGGGCCCAATGAAGTTCAACATCTTTGTTTTAAGATGGAATGGCTGCTATACGATTGTCTGCCCCTTCAATGAGGCTGAATGTGTTAAGAAAAATATTGTTTTTAGGGTGGACTGCAAATAGTCACAGAGACTATGGACTGTAGGGTTCTTTCTTAGCGTTGCGTAAACATCATCACAATTGCCATACTTGACATATTGTGTTGTTCGTGTGCAATGTAACACACATGCAATATAGTGACACTGTTTGCCTCTGTACACAGCCAGCTTAATGAGCGACACAGTTAGCATATGAGCTAACCAAACTCGAAATACCATAACGCTAAGTTAATCGTCACTATTAAACCTCAAGCCAATTGGCAATTATGACTGTTTTGCTCTGCAAGTATTGTAAGTTTTGATAAATATTCCCTGCGTCTATAGCTCCATTAGCAACAGTTGGTTTTGTATTCTTCACTTTGATCATTTGAAATAGCTCATTGTAGGAATTGTATTATTGGGCTGCCATCGCAATTTGCACGTTTATCGTATTTCCTTTTAGACTGATTCATACAGGTTTCTAATACTCATCATGAAGTCAGGAAAAGGTTGATGATGCAGAAAAACAATAAAAGGGTGGAACATTAAGTAAAGTATCTAAAGTGAACTTTAAAACACATGTAATCTTTAAATATGTGTGTTGACTTTTTGGTTTTAAACATTTGTTGTTACACTGTTTAGCATACCATCCCTTTTATTAAACTTCATGCATCTTTAACTGCAAAGTGAATTCTAACACTGATTTGCTTTGTAATGCATTTTACTTTTACATTATTGAACACTCATTAGTTTTTATATTGGTATGTTTGATAATTACTCGTGCAAATCATATTTTAGACAAATATTTTCCCCCTCTATTGAGGAAGATTTTTTTCAGTTTCTATCACATCACATTATATTCTTGTCCTTGGCTGAACTTGTTGTTAAATGTGCCTTTGAGTGACACTATGTTCAAAGGAGCATCTGCTGAAGCTGAGTGATTCAATTGTTATCAGAACCTCCCCATTCACACCTATCCATAATTCAAAACACCAACTGGCCCAGGTGCCATGTTATCACGCTTTTTTCTTTTATTTAGCTGCACCGTTGTTTCCCCCTTTTCTTCCTCTCTTTTTTAGGGGGAATCTCCTCTTAGCCTGAGGGTCAGGAGACATCATGAGTTACCTCACCTGTCTCCCCCTTTTTACGAGTGGTCCGATCTCTGTAATCGGGCTTGATTTTTTTTGTTGAATTTTTTTGCGCCCTCTTCGCCATTGCACTCCTCCACTGCAGTCTTTTACCCTTCTGCTCTTCCTGCATTTGAATCAAAGGCTGGCACAGCTTATACACACTTAAGCCTTGCTTTAAAAAAAACTATACTTTTTTTTATCTTCTGCTGAAAAACATGTTTAAATATTTAGCACCCATATTCACAGCTGTTTGACACTTGTAATTCCTCGTCTTACAAGTCCCAAACAAACGGCACAGAAGATCACACAGTCAGTCTGAATCACAGCTGTCATCATTATTCACTTTGACTCTCCCCCACCCTTATTGAAATAATAAGGAAATCATCTGAACTTTGGAAAGTGGTGATAGTAACCGCCTGTGTTTGATATTGAAAAAAGGCAGGAGAGCGAAAGAAGAGGGGAGAGATTTCTTTTGAGCTACAGCTGCATTGTTCTGGGGCTCCCTGTTAATAACTTACAACTGAGGAGTGTTTCTTGACGCAAAAAAGCACAACAAAAAAACACCATTTTCGTGGTTCCTAAGAAGATCTTTGTTCAAAATGTAGGTGTCAGATGAAAAGGCAGACATGCATAGGCAGAAGTGGTGGTGATGGTGGGGGGGAACCACTCGTGCATTCGCAGATGCATAATATTTATTATATATTGTGTTTAAATCTTTTGCTAAAAGGCTCCATGAAACAATCAGATATGGTTTGAATGGCATCCTCCCATTTTTTTTTAAATCCATAAATAGCAGGTCTTAATTGAAAGCCTGTATTTGAGCTTGTGTCGGTGTGTCTTATTCTGCAGGTATCCCAGTGGTGACGTATATCAGAACCACAGCGGTCAACCCTTGATATGGGACATTGTAGCACAGTCGGGGCTGCCAACCACTTTGAATTCCCCTCAAATGAAAAACGCTGACACAGATGTCTTGCATTTTGCTTGCTAACTGCAGAAAAAAATCTTTGCTGAACATTTCTACATATCCACCTTTTTATTTGGTTGTTGTGTGACATTCGTATATCGGGGCAAAATTGCTTTTTCCTGGAGAGTTAAGGTTCCTCACTTAAGATTAAGTTTGAAGGCATAATCTCTATATCAGCCTCGACTGTGACTACGCATGGTGGGATGTTTAGTTTTAATTGTACATGTTCCTTTTCATTATTTTGCACTGTGTCATCCTGTGTTCCTGGCTGGATTGTTTCATTATTAGGGCCATCACAGTGTGCCATTACTGGATTCTTAGCGGCTGAACTCTCACCCTTTCCTTCAGGTTCTGTCACCGTCAAACTCGGGGCGCATTATTCTAATGATCACACACACACACACACACACACACACACACACACACACACACACATATACACCACCACTGCCACCACCCCCGAACGCCTCATACACACCCTCCCACACACCCTCCCCTCCCCCCGGCCCTAAAAGAAGACAGAACGAGAGAGAGTGAGAGTGAGAGAGAGAGAGAAATTCAGGAGGAGAAAGCTTTGAAGTGGCTTTCCATCGCAGTGAGTCTGCCGGCCGTCTCCCCAAGACGTGTCACCTTTGCCGAGAGGGAATAGGAAAATCACGTTTCGAATGGTAATGATAACATACTAATCACTTGAGCTCTTTGAAGAACCCGGGGAGTGTGCTACTCTGTCAGTATCCCTGGCTGCCTCATGCTCCCAGGCACACACAGGCACTGCAGCCATGGTCTAGGTGTATTAGCTTAAGCGTTGCATGTCAATACGTCCCCCCCCATCCCAGCTGATCCATAGGGGCTCATTATAGACCAAGCTTGGTATCCATTTTTCTCCCACGTGCACGCTGCCACCATCTCCACATCCACACCCGTGTAACCCCTCCCCGAACACCCTCTTCTACACCCCAGCACCACACCTAGCATCCTATACCCCACTCGCCATCTCCTCATCTTTTTTTCTCTCACGAGCAGCCCCATTTTACCACCCATATGCCTCCATCATTCCCCTGCCCTCCCTTTAACTATTAAAAAGTATCTCTGCAATTTTAAATGACATCTGTCAGCGACGCGAAGAAAGAGGAAGCGAGGGAAAGGAAAGAGTTCAGAGGGAGTTTTCTCCTCCCTGCTCTTTTCCCATCCCTCTTATTGTCAAACTTTGAAAAGCGTGTCATTGACTTCTTCTTTTTTTTTTTTCCTCCACATTTTTCATTTCCTCTGAGTGATTAGCTGCTACATGTTTTGACAGCCCGACAAAAACTGGAGATTTCACTTCTCCCCCTGTCCCCCTCGCTCATTTGATGGGCATAAACCCTTGTCAAAGAGGCGGTTGCCATTCATCGGGTTGTTTTTTTGAGTGTCACATGTGTTACATCTGATCGGCTTCTTAACATAACGTATTAGAACGGCCATCAAAACCAACAACATTTGAGTAAACATTTAAGTCTTGCATGTTCATAGCGTTTGTGATCCTCTCCTCTGAAGGCAGTGTGGATTTAATGACAGCTGGGTTATATTTGGGGCTTACGCATAAAGTCACTACTTTGGACAATATGTGGCTGTATAGGTTTGTTTGAATCTATTCTTGTATGTTGCATAGATTAGCAACAGATATAATCGAGTCCTTTGGTGAAAGTTAATTTTAACCAACCACCTATTTAATATTTTAATCAATATTTAACCCTCTTGAAACAGCCAAAAATCTAATGTATGGCTGAGATTTGAATTAACTTAGTAGAACTTCTATACCGCTGCCAAGTTCATATCAGTCCCCAAGATGCGCCAGATTTTTTTCATGAAGGTCTGTGAACTAAATCGGTGGTAAATCATGGAAAATGTAAAAAAACACCCTATCCCACAATGCTAAAGAAAGTGATAAAAATTCCTGGACCCCCTGGTCCAAAGATGGACAGGGGTGAAAATATAATTTCCTTGGTGGAGGTAATGAAAGGACTTTAATGTAAAGTTGCATATCCAGGCACTACTTGAAATATCAAAGAAGATCAAACAGGCCCTTAATGATTACCTCACTTGTTATACAGTGCACAAGAATCCTGTAATAAGAGGCTGAGTTTATTAGATCTGTGAAATTATGTTAAAAACATATCAGGTCAGAATAACTGGATTAAGCTCATTGACATTTGAGAGTCGTCAGTTGCAGGTCACAGGTAATTGACATTTGAAAAAAGTCTAACGTAAATATCTAAAACAAAGATAATCTTTTTAACATATTCATACAGTTTAATGCAATCTTACCAAAGCATGTGAGATCAGTTATAGTTGGCTAGCCTCTTTTGTGCAGTGTCATGAAAAATATAACGTTGAAAAAAAATTTAAGTCAGTATTCCCTGCTGGTTTCCTCAGTGAAACAGTTGCCAGCACTCAGAGACAAATTGACTATAACTGTAGCTGTTAGTTGAGATGAAACTCCGGGTCCCCTGATGGTGACAGTGGAAAGGATTATGTTTAAACCAAACAGGAAAACATTGTCAAGTAACCAAATCACTGACAACATGTGTAAAGAAGATTCAGAATATCCCTGAGAACTCTTTGTATAGTCAACAATATGTATTCCACTGAAATCTGGATAATAAAGCATAAATTGTCAGGTATAGATCAACGTGCATTAGTGTGAATTTAAGCCTTTGTATAAATGTGGCATTATCTAATAAAATAAGGCTCTTTATTAATTTTTATTTAGGTGCGAGAACACTGACCTGACATGTTCAGTGTTTATGAAGATAATAGAATATTAAATTATTTTCCAGATATACTGTCTGTGTGTTTTTGTAATATACGGTGCAGTAATTGGATTCGCAAACACAATGAAATAAACCAATCATGGAAGATTTCTATATTTGAGAGCCCCGAGATAGAACCCAAGGCCAGCAGTCAACAGATCAGATCTGTTCTCGCCTTGCTTGTTAGACATGAATTGTTTCGCTGTAGAGAAAGAACCAAAACACTCTTCTTTTTTTTTTCTTCCTCTCTTGGTATCTAAAGAACTGCTATCAATTGATATGTATACACCTGATATTAGAGCCCGAGCTAACACCTTGATACTCACAAACATCCACTTTGAAAAAATGATCAAGTTGCTTATTTAATATTTTATGAAACACATCTTTTCTTGAACACCTCTGCTCTCTGAACTCGGTGCTTTCAGCGGGCAGGCTTGTCAATTGTTGATCGCTGTGAGTAAACCAAGGGGGGATGTGGTAACTCGTGCATCATGAATGACTGTTTTTGTCCACTAATGTGGATAAACAAGAAGCACAAGGAATTCAATGTTTTTTTTATAAACTTTAAGACACTAATTGGTTTAAAAAGGCTTATATGTCATTATTATTACTATTATTACTTTATGAAGCTGCTATTTTTCAGGCATTTTCACGTTTATTGACAGGACAACTAGCATAAAGAGAAGCGGGGTGAGAGAATGTGGAAATACATGCAGCACGGCGCCAGATCGCAACCAAACCGAGGCCATATAATTTTGTTATTCAAAAATTATCACCTCCACCAACTAGGTTCTGTTTTCACCCCTGTCCGTTGGTTGTTGTTTGGTTGTAAGCAAGATTGCACCTAAAAAACCTGAACCAATTTCCCACGAAACTTGGTAGAAGGGTCAGGGAAGAACCCATTATATTTTGGTGTGGATCCAGATCAATTATTTTCACTTTCTTTAACATTGCAAGATAGTTATAAATATATATTTTACAATTTTCCCAGGGAATTATTCGTGGATCTTGATTTAAAAAAAAACCCAACTAATTTAGAAGACTGATATTTATGAATTTTAGCGCAGCTTAAATGAATTTAATGGGACTGTTGGGCCTTGACGGAGGAATGCGCTCTGACTGAGTTCTAGTTATTTATTTAACTTTATATGTTGCATTACTGTCTCTGGGTTACGGTTGATTTTGGCTTAACTTCCTTCTCCAGGTGAAAGCTTTCACCTGAACAGGATTTTCTCTCGCTGCGAAAGCTGCAAATTAAATGTGATTTCATCTTGATTTGCACCCTCCTGCCTTAACTTTTCACCACGCGCAGCAGAAGGCTCTGTTGTGAAACAATACAAGGAGGCAACAAACCTCAAAGTTGTTCTTGTTTTCATGTCCAAGATAAGGCAGCAACACATCTGATATTGTCAGCCTCAACATGCATATCCTTGATATTCCATCAGCATATAACACATTGTCATCCATGAAGGTTATTGCCAACCTGGCTGCATTATGTTGTCGCTGTGGATGTGGTCTGTCTATTTAGGTGACAGTGTTGATGTGTTTCTTTGAAATGGTTCCCAGCCCTCTCAATCAATTTTTTTTTCCTTGTTTGTTTCTCTGGCTTTATTTATTTTTTTCTCTTATTTGTTGCAGAGAGCGCATCTGTTGGACAACACAGAGAAGATGGAAAGGTCATCACGGAGACTGGAGGCCGGCTACCAGATAGCAGTAGAAACTGGTGCGTATTCTGTTTCGGATTGGGTCGGGAAGGAGTGGGGTGGTGTTGGGCGGGGGTTCAAGATAGTGGGGAGGATGAGTGAAAGACAGCAAATTGTCTTGCTCATATGCGAGGTAGGTGGATATGTATTTGGGGGGGGGGGGTTAAAAAAAAAACAACCTCTTTCCTTGACGCCTGATGACATTTTCGGGAGAACATCAAAAGACAAGCCAGGGAGAGAGAGAGAGAAAGAGAGGTGTACAGGCGACAGATCGGGCTCCGCTTCTACTTGCTCTGCTTCCGAAGAAAATTCATGCATTGCTATAGCTGTGTGTGTCTGTGTGTGTTGTGTATGCATGTGTTATGGGTGGGTGGTGTTTTTTTTTTTAAGATAAACAGAGTCTATGAAAATAAACGTCAGCGTTCCTCCTGAAGTTCTTAATTCAGGGGTGCAGGAGGAAGAAAAAAACATAATATCACTTTCTAAATAAACCATCCAAAAACACACACAAACTCAATTTTCTTCATTATCAAGGATGTTTATTTTTTTAAATCTCAAAATAGGAAAAAAGCTCATTGGGATCTTAAATAGATTTAACCAGTTAGCATATTTTCTTCCCTTCCTGTCTTCCTCGCTGACAGTCACCACATTATCGAGGCACAGTGTATTCCTCAGAGATGTATCAAAGCTCATTCTTGAAGTATCAACCAGCTTTCTGTGGCTTCCGTTGTAGTTTTGAAAAAGTTTGTCAATTTACACTATAATCGCGGGGTGGCTGGCATGTGCGACATCGACAGATTTAATAATTCAAGTCAAGGAAGGTTCGCACGCAGACCACCAGCTTTTGATGTTCTCTGTAACTTGCATTCACAAATTCATAAATACAATCTGCATTCTCTGCTTAAAAATGTTGGTTCAAATGTCTCAGATGATCCCTGCCGGTATCCGAGTTTCTCGACTGTGTCAAATTCTGCGACAGCCGACACATTTTTAATTCTATCCAGTCGAATCTTCCACTAGAGCTGGCTCATTTTGATGTTTTTCCTCTCAGCACGCATGGTGTTTAAGAAGTGGGCCATAGCTTAGCAGTGTTCAGTACCTCCTGGGCCCGGCAGTTTCTCCTTCCATAGTCGACCGCATGCCCCTTGACCTTGTGTCACTGGTTGCTGTGTCATCCACCGTGTGTGCGGCGAGCTAAGAACAATACTCGTTTATCCTGCCCTGGTCCCACACACTTGGCTTGGTCCACACCAGCTGTGGGGTGTGTTTGTGGTTTGGTGGGGAAGCTTCGCCCTTGCGTCTTTAATCCATGACCCCTTCCTTTACTCTGCTGTCGATACCAACCCTCCGCTCAGATGCACAACCTGAAATAGCAATGTCTCCGGGTTAAAACCGAGAATTCGTCTGCACAAAGAGCACAGATAAGCCAGGCCTATGCGCTCCTCCACCAGACTAATTACTATATATGCAAAACTCAAATTTAACAAACACACTGGGCACAAACATTAGGTAGCCATATTTATCCACTGGGTTTACAAAGTTGGATGGGGTTTGCCATCCAATCCCAAATTCAGTTTGGTCTTTAATTTAGTGTTGTTCACTCATTTCAAACTATATATTTACTCCTGTGGTTCCATGGCGGCTCGTCACAACACTTCTCAGACATCTTTGGTAAATCCTGCACCGTTTAGATCATAGTCCTGCTGTAGTCCTGTGGTAATATTCAGATGTAGTGCGCCAAGGGCTGGGATTTGTGTGTTTGCAGAAGCTAAATTGTTTACTTTCATCGTCCAACAAAGGCTGCATTTATTGTAGTTGCTTCTCTTTCACACCAACAAATGCAAAAATAATAAAACAAAAGTCTAAGAAGTGCACCACGCTTTATTCATGCACATTTATGAAAATGGCACTGGCAGTTCGAGGAATCTGCTTTGAGTTTTCAAACACAGAGGTGTGGCATCCATAGCCGTTAAACAAGAATAATTAGAGTGTTAAGTGTTTCTCCAATCAAACCCTCTATAGTAAAACTGGTAATACTTTCCTCAACTCTCCTCAGACATCTAAGCTGCACTTTTTCACGAAGAGCAGTTTAGCGTCATTATTTTTGCAGTAATTCAAAGTTGCATCTTCTATCCAAAATGACACAGCAGCCCTTAAGAACTGTAATTGACCAATGGAAGTGGAACTAAAAGACATTTTTATTTCAAAGAGATAGATCCTGCACAAAGAAATGGCATAGAAACTCAGCTTTGCTCCTTTTCTCTGCAGCGCAGACAATACATCTCTTAATGACCAGGAACAAAAAAGCCAGGATGCTTCTAGGTCCTACTTAAGGGGAAAAAAATGAGTTTTTAGCTCCAAGAAAAGATTAATCTTCACATCGAACCATTTTATTTCAGATTTAGCATTTCTTTTTCTACCACTCTCAATCTTTCCATTTAATTTGAGTGAAAACAAAAGCTGTGAAAGCCCTCAGAGGGGCATTGATGAGACTCTGGACATGCAGAGCTATTTACCACATGCACTCCTCAAGAACCAGGGTCCTCTGTTTGTCTCATAAATAAAGTATAGAACTTCATTAGTGAGGAGCACTGACTTAAAAGCCCCAGACATAGCAACAAGCAGACATGGGGGCTAGCCCAGTTAAAGAGGGCCCTAAATAAAAAGGGAGGGCATGCAGTTAGCCAATTTACAGACATTTGAGTCAGGGGCATTTGAAATGCCCAAATGTGGAGACTTGACTGATGTTAAATCAAAGACATGCCAGATTTTAGTCCTTCCCTCCGCAGTTGAAAAGATTTTGAATGATTTATGATTGCTTGTTTAGAAATAGATTGCATGACAGATAAGACATCTGAGTCGCGATGATTGGCTGTTCCACCTTTTTGATTATTATTCATGGAAGGAGAGAGAGTTGAGTTGAGTTCACACAGAACACGGCTAAAAATTGTTCCATCAAACTCGTGCTAAATCTTCGAGTTATGGTAATTATTTTTTTTTTGTTGTTTACCAGCATAAATCTGATGACTGATCAGCTTTATATTACATTTGCTTTGTTGTGTCAGCATAGAGCAGCTGTTTGCAGATGGTTCTGTAAATGTGCAGTTGTTTTAGGACGCAATTGTCATTGTGAACCTTTAACTTAAATTCTAAGTCAATATTTCTTATATCTGCTGGAAACCGCTGCAGTTTTGATAAATTCACTTTTGATATAGATTTTTTTTTTTAGAACTTTTTTTTTTTT